AGGAGGTGTATATCTGATTGCCTGATGGTTTTCCTCTCCCAAATGCCAAGATACCCCGAGATCGATACTGTGTCCGATATGGATGGTGGGATGGTATGCACTACATGCAAAAGGATAAGGACGTGGTCCTCACAAAAATCGCCTCTAGCGAGAACATCGCAGATTTGTTTACCAAGTCTTTGCCGCCATCTGTGTTTTGGAAACATGTGACAGCAATGGGTATGACGCATCGTGGTGAACTCCTGTAACTTCTCTTCGGTTCTACAGTTCAGGGGGAGACTTGGCATGTCACTGCACTATTTCGCCCTCCGTTCTTCCCAGTGGGTCTTTGCGGAGGAAGGTTTTAACGAGGCACCCTGATGTAACCGTGGCCAAGGGGGAGTGTTGTCTGTATGGCCACGATCGCGCTTCATGTTCCCGACGAGACAGTCCCTTTACCATCAGGATGATGGATCTGGAGCTTTGGAGCTCAAGCGCTGGCACCTGGGATCTGGAGAGCTCGAGAATGTTCAAGAAGATTCATGGTTTCATTCTCTATCCTTTGAGCAAAATCGGCCCCTTTAATGTGTTTCATCTGCTTCATTCTTCTGGGATAATCTTGTTCCTTGCCACTTTTCTCCCCCATGTATAAAAAGGAGAGCCTCTCCCCCCCTCCCAATAAGAAGAGATCTGAACTCACAAATTAAAACAGGAAGCAAACTGTGGCGATTTAGCACATTTGCCGAAATCCCCTCTGGCTGGCCCCCTTGGCCAAAGTTCAGAAATGGCCCCTTTCGTAGTCACTTCGGAGGCTGATGGCTTTCGATCCAATCATGAAAAAATGAAAATGTGTCCATGGCTCGATTCCCCTTGGCAAGAGGAAGAGATTGACAGACATTTTTCCTGTCAGTTGTGACATATACCCCTATTTGGGTATCCAGTTACTATCCTTGACGGTCCGCTCGATGTGATGCCTTTAGGTGACATGCACTGCACCTCTGTCGAGCATCCCTTCCCTCTGGTGAGCAGCAGCATTCTGGTCTGTGTTCTCCTGGAGGGGGGGAGGGGGGCAAGAAGGGAGTTTCAGCGGTGGCGCCCCCGCTGGGGTCCACGGTGGCTGGGGGAGGGAGCCCTTCTAGACGAGGCCTGAAGGGAACGAAAGTGGGACGGACGACAAGACAAGGATGGTGGGGCTGCGAGCAGGAAGTGGGTGGGGAAGCTGGTAAAAAGCAAAAGGGGCGAAGGAAGGCAAACGCAGCTGGCGGGGACGGGGAGAGAACGCAACAAGCGGAGCAAACCGATGAGACCCGCAAGGCAGCGAGATCGGTGCAAGTGTAAGATAGATTTCGCCACGCCGCAGTTGATCAGTGAGTAGCAGAAGAAACGTGAGCGAAATGTGAACAAAACCATGCTCGGCAAGCTCAACCAACTTGAAGTTAACTGAAATCGAACGTTCGAGAAGGCACGTGAGATCCTGGTGTGATGGGACTCCGGCACCGCGGGGTTTTGATCCTTGGACCCCGTTGTTATGAGCCCGCGCGCTTCCTCTGCGCTATGGTGCTATTGTGCGGAACGGGTGCAAGCAACTGTCAGCGACCACATTGCAGCCGGGAATCGTAGAGTCAACGGGGAACAGAGGGTTTGCGGATGTAGGGGACGGGCCCGGAACATCGCACCCTCAAACCAACAACGAAGAAAGAGTACGGCAACAAAATGTTATGTTCAAGGCAATCAACGAAAAACACAGGCCAGAACTCAACCCCACAGGATATCAATCCGCAACAACGGTCCAATTCCAAACAGCGTCATCTCCTCACCCACCCGCAACCAGTATTTCGTACACATCCCCACAGATATCCTCCAACGCGGCGCGCTCCGACCGCAGCGGGCGGAAGCTGCTCCATATCCGATCACCGTTCTGCAAGGTGCACTTGAACTCCTCACCATCGGCGAAGATCGTGGCGTCGCACACCCTCTTCTGCGCGCAAAACTCGCTGAGCATGAACGCGTACGTGCCGGGCTCTGTGTCGCTGCCTGTCTCGTCCGCCGGCCGCTTTCGCTTGCGGTCGAAGATCGAGGCCGATGTCTCCTCTGGCGCGGGCCCGATGAGATCGAGCGGATTCGGGGCGGATTGGATGAGTTTGCGCACGGCGGCCTCGGCGGCGGACTCGCGGGCCTCGCCTTTGGTAAGGAACTTGCCCCGGGAGTGGAACCCGTTTTTGCCGACGACCGCATGCGCGAGGATGTTCGGGGACCCGCCGCGGGTAAACTAGTGGGGTTGCGCGGGTCCGAGGAAATTCTGAGCGAGGAGTGCGAGGAGGACATCTTGCCACGACCCAAGGTTCAGGTGCGGAGGTGGAGGGCCATCTGGGGGAAAAAGTGGTATAACCATGGTTAGTACGGGCCTGCTTATGTTGAAACAACTCAAAAGGAGGACACCATACCTTCAACTTCAGAAGTCTCGTGAGCCGAGGCGGAGCCTAGAAGAAACCAGAGAATAAGCGAAATCCGCAAATACCATCACGATGAACGACACGAGGACAGCCTCCGTCGCAAGTCAACCAACCTTCTCCCATATCCACCGTTTCGACCTCAACTGACGTTCTGACCGTCGACGTCTGACCATTAGCCTGCTGGGCCACACCCGGCTTCTGATTTGGAGCCGGACGGTCGATAACTTGCGCGGGGGGGGAGGGCATTGACGGTGCCGACGATGTTCTACGAGGCGGTGACGACTTCGCAAGCGATGCGCGCGACATCCTCCTTTGCCTGGGCCTTCTTCGAATAGGGGGTGACACTCTAAGACCGCAAACAAATGGAAAATGAGCAGGCGAAAGCGAGCGGTGGGAAATCATCGCATTCTGGACTATACCG